GAGAATAAATTACTTTGGAATCTAAAGTTTCTCTTTTAGATATCTCAGATTGAGATAATGGAGGATTTGCTGATTTGCTTGCATCTGCCTTTTCTTTTGAATCAGAAGATTTTGGATTGACTCCTTTGATGATGACATCCTATTGTATGTGATCAATTGACTTTATGAATGCCTTCATCTTATTCTTCCAGACACTATATTCCTTGCCATCGAAATATGGTGGTCTGTTGTTGCTCTGTCCTTCAATGAGCCCTGGAGCACCAAAGCTAGCCATGTAGATCGTTAGCTCAGAAGTAAAACACTTCAATAAATGAGCAACCTGCTTTGATACTAATTGATGTAGCTAGCAAGGATCACCTAGAGGGGGGTGAATAGGTGATCTTAAACAATTTTTGTCAAATTATGCGGAAATGAATAATCACAACTTAGTCTGAATAAACTTCAGATTCAAAACAGATTATATAAATGGTGCTCTTGATGTGCAGTATGTAAATTAAGAGATAAGGGATAAAAAAACTGCACACAAGTTTATAGTAGTTCGGCTTATAGTAAGCCTACGTCCACTCTCCCACGCTGACAGCCTACCAGCTGGATTTCACTACGTAATCAAGAGGAATTTACAGATTCTGAGTAACAGCACTCTTGTATATGATAGGACTCTCTATCTCACACAATCACTCTTACAAAGTAACCCTCTAGATCTTAATTTTTGGCTCTGAACGACAAGAGAAATGATTGGAGTATGCTCAGACTTTGGACTTGTTGATTCTTGAATCTGTGCTACCTTCTGCTACTAGTTGATCTCCTTAAATACTCCTCTACTTCCAAACTAGCCGTTGGACAGCTTTTAGAGGATCATCTTCCAATCTTCATCTTGGACAGATTTGTATAATAAGGATTGAGTAGCCGTTGGATGACAGATTCTGAATCCTGCTGATTCTGATCGCCCATACAATCAGAATCTTGGTTTCCATAAGTAGAACTTTATCCGTTGTAATGCATACTTGTCGTAGTATTTGATTGTCAATCAATTATAGCCTTAGATTGAAATAATCAAAACTTTCCTTCTATGAAATCCATACCAGATCACTAGCTGTTATGTTTCGTTCTGAATTCTGCTTCAGAAGAATTTCTGCGTCTGCGTCTGCTTCTGAAAAATTTCAGCTTCTGCGTCTGCTTTTGAAAAATTTCTTCGTCTGAATCTCAGAACTAAGATTATGTGGGTCTTCAATAAGGTATTTACCAGCTTGTAAAGTTTGAAAAAATTTCTTCTAAGCTTCCAGAATATACATTCCTGGAATAAATTAGATCAGAATAAGTATCAGATTTACAATAACATGGAAGGTTTTGTCAACTTCAAAATCAATAGGAGTTTTCCTCAACAGAGACGTGTAATCTGGGGCCTCTCTCAACAGTGAACCGCGGGATGGATGAGATGACAAGGAGATTGAGTCATCTTTTGCTCATTCGAGGGGAATTTATTCAGCACTGGTTAAGGACCCCCCCTCCCCCGGATGCCTATAACTTTTTCAGGAAAAATTTCAAATAAAAATATCAAGTGTTTTTATTTTCTCAAATAAGAATCTGAAGTGGACATTATCTTAAATAAGGATCTGAAGTGACTATAACAGTTTTAAATAAAGGTTTCATCGCGCTGGCTCGCCAACCGGCCAAATTTTCCGGCCGATTAAAGGTATTTTCGTCTAAAAATCATTTTAACATTAATTTTAGTTAAATTAAATTTAAAAAAAAAAGAATAAAACAAGGGGGAGGGCTGGCCTCGCCTCTAGTCGACGAGGGCTCTATAGATGATGTTGGTTATCGGACAAAATGAACAATGTGAAAATCAACTTGACCGGAGGATTTTAGGACTTATTGGAAATGAAATGATGAGAAACAAAATTAGTTCTTGATACGCACTTGGGTGCACTTCAAAACCAACTAGCTCTAGTACCAAGTAAGAATTGACTAGCTCTAAAAGCTTAAGATGTTATAAATACGTGATTTTGAATATTTAATTATCTTAACACAAAACTATGTAATATCGATAGTTTTGTTTAGGTATCAAGCTCTGTGGTTGTCGATTCAATCCTAATTCTTACGAGGGCACAAAGGGAAAACGGAAAAAGAAAAGGAATTAGGGTGTGGTTGAGCCCACATGTGCACAACAAGGGACACCAATGAAGGAGCGCCTCCTAGCCACAGCTAATATCTGCTTCTCATCTGGTGGCTGCTGCTTGGCACGCAACACAATTTAGGCTGTGCATGGCAATCATTTTATGCCCGGGAACAGATTCTGCTCAGAAATGATTCTTTTTTATTCCATGCACGGGAACAATTTCTAAGCATTTAAAGGCGTTTTGTAATTGCCCAAAATTTCTATTCTTAGAATAGAAAAAGAACAGAAATGTGTTTGATAACTACACAAAATTTCTTTTTATTAATAATATTTTAACAATTTTTGAATTTTTTAATATTTCTTTCTCTATTTTTCCTTTTTTTCTTTTTTTTATTTTTTTTCCTTCCCTTCCTTGGCCATGGCCAATCGCCGGCACCAACGATCGGCCACAGGCCAAGGCCGGCGAGGGCGTCACGGCCCTTGCCGCCGACCTCGCAGGTCGTGACGGCGAGGTCGGCCTCGCGTTGGTTGGGCGAGGCCGACCTCGCCATCGCCAGATCTGGGCGAGGTCTCGCCGTCACGGCCGTGAGCGCGCGCCCTCGCGCGCCCACGGCTCGTGGCCGATGGCCGGCGGCGGCGGCAGGGCGGGCGGCGAGGAAGAAGAAAAACAACAAACCAAGAAAAAAGAAGAAAATCAAGAAAAATCAGAAATGGAAAAATTGTTCAAGAATCAAGAAGTTACTTTTTTTTGCTTCTTGATTCTGTTCCCAAATTGATTCTGGGAACATTTTTTTGCAAAATTGTGCCCGGGCACAAAAAATTTAACAAATAGATTTCTGTTCCCAAACTGATTCTGGGAATAAAAGAAGAGAAATTTTCACTATTTGGCAAGTTACCAAACGGGCCCTTAGAGCGCGCATAATAACCATTATGTTTCTGTCCAGAACTAATTTTTTGTTCCCGAGAACAGGTTTGGAACAGAAACCCGTTTGATAACGCAATTCCATTTTTCTATTTCTGGAACAACTTTTTGTTCGAGAACTGGTTCTGGACTAAAAATCAGAACAAAAAAAAAGTAGGTTTTCTGTTTCTGGACGAGAAATGAAAACCATTTTTAAAAGAACCTGTTTTCTCTCTTCAAAACACATCTCTTCCTAAATTTGGCCCCGATCCGAACCGGTTCGGTCAGGTTCATTCCTGACCGGAAAATAAAAAAAATTCTAAAAAAATTTAGAAAAATCAGAAAAAATTCACAAAATTCACAAAATTCATAAAAAAAAATTAGAAAATCCGGAAAATTCCTAAAAATCTCAAAAAAAAATTCAGAAAATCCATTAAAATTGAAAAATTCTAGAAAAATTCATAGAAATTTAAATTTGTTGAGGTACCCAAATGATATTTTTGAAGTCTCCTTCGTTTAGGGATTTAAAATGGGTTTTAACCCCTAAAAAACCCTAAAATGGGTTTAACCCCCAAAAGGGATCTTTACCCCTAAAAAACCCTAAAACCCTAAAAAAACAACACAATCCTTTGAATGAATTAGCATTTAGCGCTTTACTAGGGTTTAGGTGTTTTGATTAATTTTCATTTTAGAGACCATTTCTAAAAAAATGGATTTATATTCCAGGAAATAGAAATTTGTGTTGTTATCAAACGGATTTATGTTCCAAGAAATAGAAATTTTATGTTGTTATCAAACGAGTTTCTGTTATAGAAATAGAAATTTTTTGTCGCTATCAAATGAGTTTCTTTCCTCAGAAACTTGTCCTGAGAACAGAAATAGAATCTATTTCTGTTCCAGGAATTGTTTATGGAACATAATAGTTATTATTCGCGCCCTTAGCCAACAGGAAGGAAGGGAGATTCAGAATTGAGTACTGATGCAGTCTCCCAAAAAAAAAATAAGGGATAAGTATATCGGATATATTAAAATTTGTCACAAAAGTACAATTGAATCATAAAACTTTCAAAAAATGCAATTCAGTCCTAAAACTTGTCATAAAAGTGCAATCGAGTCCTAAAACTTGTTAAATTTGTCCAATCAAGTCTTTTTATTAATTGCACTTTTTGAGATTTTTAGGACTCAATTGCACTTTCGTGTAAGAACTTAATTGTGCTTTTTGAAAGTTTTAAAACTTAGTTGCACTCTCCTAATAAATTTTAGAACTTCCAATGCACTTGTCCCAAAAATCAAATACCTTAAAACAAATTCCTCCCCTTGTTTGGCTTTGAGATTCGATGGAGCTCTAGAAGACGCCAAATCAAAGAGCGCCTGCCTTGTTTGTTTTGTTATCGTTGGTGCTTGATTGGAAGACTTCCTCCATCCCAGATTTTACATGATGTTTGCTTTGCTCGCACTTTCTTTCCCTTTGTCCCAATCGACCCGATCACAATCCAACGTGAGAGAGAGAGAGTTAACAGAATTGACGACTGATGTTGTCTCATCAAACAACATACATCCTAAACCAATTCCTTCCCCTTGTTCGGGGTCGAGATTCGATGGAGTTCTTGAAGTCGACACATCAAGAAGTCCTCGCTCGTTTGTTCGTTTTTGTTCTCGTTGGTAGTTAATTGGGAGACTCCCCATTCCAGATTCTAAACAATGTTGCTTCGCTCTCGCTTGTTTCCGGTTGTCCCCTGCGATCCAATCGCAACTCGATGAGTACAAAAAGCTTGCTTTGGACGGTGTCGCTGTAGCTCTAACTAATTGAATAAGGCGATCTGGTCTCTTGAAGTCTATATCTGTCTTCGTTTTCTCATGTTGAATTCAACTAGTCGGAGACAAACCCAGGCGAGACTCCTTACGGCAAAATCATGGTCGTCCGAGCCCCCCCCATATAACAAGCCCTCCAGCTTATTCATTCTGCAACGAATGACAAAGATGGCGGTGATGGAGAAACATTTCCTTTTCCTCTCTCTCCTCCTTTTGTTCTCGTTTGGGCATCCACGTTTTTCCTCGGCCGAAGGAAAAAGTGACGGGTCCCAGCAGTGGGGATATGTGGAAGTTCGACCAGGTACGTAGTTATGGTGTCCAAATTCTTCAGTTTGGTGGAAAAAACAACATATGGCCGTGATCAAATAAACGATTGCTGTATATATGTATGTTCATTTGAGCCATTCTACATTCAAGGAATTAACTAATGTTTAATTTATTTGTTGGGCTGTAGGCGTTCACCTCTTCTGGTGGCTGTACAGAAGTCCATATAGAGTTGAAGAACCTTCCAAACCCTGGCCAGTACTGCTGTGGCACCAAGGAGGCCCCGTGAGAATTTTACCTTTGAAATTACACCCAACAGAATGAAAATCAATGTGTTTTCATTACCTCTCTCCTTCATTTTCCTAGGGAGCCTCCGGTGTTGGATTTGGAAATTTCAAAGAAATCGGACCACTGGATGGGAATTTGCAGCCCCGGAATTTCACGTGGCTTCGAAAAGCAGATCTCTTATTCGTGGTACGTAGCAGTGTCTCTTCAATTTCATACAGTCATTCTGAAGAATGCCCTTCTAGGTATTGGCATTTAGGAGGCACCGCTGCTTAGTTTTTTTGTAACTCGTAATCCTCTGTGTACATAGGACAGTCCAGTGGCAACAGGTTTCAGTTATGTGGAGGATGAGAGCTTAGTAGTGAGAACAGACAATGAAGCAGCAGCTGATCTGAGCACTTTGCTGATAGAGCTCTCCAATGGGAACGAGACCCTCCAAAAGAGTCCTCTGTACATCTTTGCAAAATCATATGGAGGCAAATTTGCTTCTGCCCTTGGAGTAATAGCTCTAGAAGCTATTGAAGCTGGAAAACTGAAGGCCCAACTTGGGGGTAGAAATTCTTTTTTCCCAACTACTTTGTGGCACTTGTTTGAAGCAGTCGCTCTTTGTCCCGACTTTCAATATTCGATGCTCAGAAACCCGCTATTTCTGATGTTTTATCGTAATGTCCAAATATAGGAGTTGCTTTGGGGGATAGCTGGATTTCTCCTGAGGACTTTGTGGTATGTGATTTCAGCCACCAAGAAATTTGTTTGTTTTGCATAATGAAGATAACCATTTCTGCTTGGTGACTCTTGGTGACTTACTGCTGTATCTGCATTACATCGAAGTTCTCATATGGACCTGTTCTTAAAGTCATGTCGCAAATCGACGAGAACGGCTTGACTCAATCCAACAGGTCTAAGTCGCATTTCTCCTTCTAAGACCTTACACAAAAAAAACTAGACAGACGAGCATAACGTCAAGTTAACTATCGTGCTATCCAGTTTAGCCCTGAAGATCCAGCAGCAACTTGCAGAAGGCAAATCGGAAGATGCCACAGCAACATTTCGAGACCTGGAGCAAGTCATCCAGCAATACAGTAATAACGTGGTATCTTTCTCTATCACTTGTTCTTGTCATAACACAAGAAGATGGTGTGCACTTTGAGTGTAGAGGGAGTTTCTGAGAGCCGCATGACCTGCAGGACTTTTACAACTTCATGTCAGAATTGGAGACCAACTCTGCGGTGGTGAAAGAGAGTAGAAGTAGCTCAACAAGATACACAGAGAGAACCTCAACTGGAGCATGGGCTGCCAATAGTGACTTCAGAAGCTTGATGAACGGACCGATAAGAAAGAAGCTAAAGATCATCCCAGATAACGTGACGTAAGTTCCAGAAGACCAGAAATGTTTGACAGATTTAACTCTACTTGCAGTTTGACCCAATCCTTTATATTGATCTTTTCCCGGGTCAATCAAAATTCATCTGTGTCGTAGATGGCAAGGACAGTTTCGCCTGGTTTTTCCAGCCATGTATGGAGATTTCATGAAACCAAGAATTGAAGAGGTAACAGCTAATCCCAGTGTAAACGAGAAGAGACGAGCCCGATTTTAGTTTTCCGTCGTCTGCCACCACAGAGATTATGAAGTCTCATAAAATTTTTCTCAGGTGGACAAGCTTTTAGCCAAAGGCGTAAACATCACCATTTACAATGGACAGGTCAGGGTTTTTCCATGAACTTTTCCGTGCGCTTCACGCAGTCCCATCGCCGACTGAGTTTGCCCCCACATAATCTCGTTCAACTTCCTAATGCTGCAGCTAGATCTCATATGTGCAACAAAAGGAGCAGAAGCATGGGTCAACAAGCTCAAGTAATGGCTCCTTTTCCAACAGAACACACCCATAGACATTGACTCCCATTCTTAATTTCGAAAATGGTCCCTCATGCTTGCCTTGTCATATGCAGGTGGGACGGTCTGAGCAATTTCCTGAGTGAGGACCGGGTCCCTCTATACTGTGGAAAAGGCTTTACGGGGACGAAAGGATTCGTGAGATCCTACAGGAACCTCTTCTTTTACTGTATTCTCGGTGCTGGGCACATGGTGAGTCCTTATTCACAATCACATCCCTCCAATGGAATTGTTTTCGGGCTGTGAAGATTACTTCAAGCTACGAAACATTCTTTCAAAAGTACAAAAAGGATCACTCAAGATGCATTCGATTCCTGAGGATATTTCTAATCTGTTTTCACCAAGTAAATTTCTGATAATGATATTCTCCCTCTCGATTTTTCACATCTATGCAAACCAGCATGATTCAGGGTTTCCAATTTATGGAACTCTAATGTACCCTTTTCCATATATCTTTTACTTACTCTAGCTTAGACCACTATTCCATAAAAAAAAAATATTTCACAAATTTCTTGTTCTAGTATTCCTTTTTTCTTGTCGTAATTCTTAATACAATTTGAAAATAGTGAAACATTAAAGTTGCTTTTAGCTTGTTGAAAATTTGTTAATTAAGAAAACTCTAAAATCTTTTTTTTAAATGATTTCTTACTTCTCTATGAAAACAGAAAACAATCGAAATCATTTCGCCAAAAAATCTGCGTTCCCATTTTCGAGGACATCGTGATCGTCAAACGAAATGCTGCCAACTCGAGCGTGAAGATACATAGTTATACCTGATAATTAGATGTAAATTTTTTTTTTTTGATAATCAAGGTGTCCACGCGGCCGGCGAACTAGGGCTCAAACCAGCGGTGATGTCCGACTAGTCCTCGAGGGGGGCTAGCGCAGCATCCCACCGCCACGACCCCCCACTTAAATCACCGATGGGCGAGTTTGAATCCAGGACCTCTCGTGAAATGAACTGAGCGCAAACCAACGCGGCCACCGATGTACATTGAGCTCCACAAAATAAGAAAAACATACTTTGGCATTGTAACAGGATGTTCTCCACAAGCCTGGACAGTCGACACTATTTTTTTCCTTTTTCTATCACTTTCCAAAAACTCCATTCCCCCACCTAAGCAGTTCGATACATAGGAACTCAGAACAGGGAAATTTGAAAACACAAGATGCTGAACCTGCAAGAAGATATCTGTAGTTTTTCAGCTTGGTTTTTGCCATTCTTCCGCAGGTACCCAGCGACCAGCCGTGCATTTCCTTACAAATGGTGGGCAGCATCACCCAGTCACCAAGCAAATCTTAGTTTGAAAATCAAGCAAGCTCAAAGGAGTCTATCGTCAATAGTAGACTTTTCCGTCTCAAGAACAACACATGGTAATGGTGAAAAGATAACAAACTCCAGAGAATAGTATATTCATGTTTCTTGCATACAAAGAAATAACTTAACAAAAAGAAAGATGATTCCACACCACAACTGTGTTACGACCCTGAAAGCGACTATGAGGGTTGACAACCGCAACAAAAAGCGTCTTCACCAACATTGCAAAGTTTAAGCGTGAGACTATCCTCAGGCTTTACTACAAACTATGCCAAAATTGCAAAACAATATATTCTCATGTAACTGAAAACTAGAAGCTGAAATGGTCCTTTAGCTTGCACTGTTCAATGAAGTGAAGAAGTGTCAATTAATTGATTGGATATCAATTGTGTATGTAATCTATCGATTCCCACAGCTTGTGCTACATACTTGCAACGTATGACCTCTGGATTGAGAAAAGTTCATTCTCACTCAAAGTAAATGTCTCAGAAATTTTTTCCAAAGCACCTCTCACCAATCTTTCCACTCCTTGATTTCCTCCATTCTATCAGTAGAGAACACAGAAGCAAAAGATGGCACCAGCTTTTAAAGCTTTTAATGAAAAGCTTAACCAAGGACAGTCACACTTGCCAAATAAAAACACAAGTATTGCGAAAAAACATATCGGGGAATCAAGAAACAATTCAAAATTAAACGATGAGCGCATTCCACTAAACCATTTTACAACTATAACATTTCATAAATATAACATCACCTCCAAAGTACGACTCCAAAATTGTTATAATACTACAACTGTATGAGAGGTCATTCGTCGTTCAAACGATCTAATTCTTTCTCCCACTTCATCCCAAACATTTGGCGTCCAAAGGGCACAATGAGATTATACCGAAAGACCTACACAACCGCAACAAATCCATCTTGTTAACAAAATCAGCACCAACCAACTTTCTCCGCTCCATAAAAGTAGTAGTATACTAGAAGCAGAAGAAAGCATCCATCAAATTGAATACACCAACCCAAGGACTCACCTTGTCATTAATACCGCGCATTTGCACTTTCAAAGCCTCCGAACGGTCGTCCCACTCGGATCGACTCCCATTGCTTCTGCTCATCCATGCTTTCTTTAGCACTCTCCGCCACTCGGACATCGCACTCCTTATTTCCTTGTTAAGTTCTACCCACTCTGGAGCACAGCCATTCTTATTAAGAATCCGATACAAGGTGTCTTCTGCTGGATCTGCATGCGGATTTACGCTGAGGTCAAGGGGTTTCCCTTTTCCAGGTAAGTTCTCAAAATGTCCTTCCTCCATCGAATGCCATATTCTTTGCTCCACTATGTTCACAATATCAGTCTCAGATCTGCCAAGAGGGTAACGCAAAACATCATCAACCGACCCCTAAAAAAGCTTCGAATTTTTTTCTATTCAAGCAACAGAGTGTGCATCAAGATGCTAAACAAAAATCAAGGAACACGTCCTATTCTCTTCTTCAATGCAACCGTCAAGACAACATAAGTCCCAATCCGGAAATCGACCTGACTACAATTCTGCACCGAGGATTCCTTACAGTTACCTACTTCAACTGCAGCAACAAATAAGCAGTTACAATCCAAATCACAGGAACGAACAATGAAAAATCTCTCTTAAAAGCATTACGTCCCGCGGATCGTTCAGTATAAGCATTATTATAGGAGAAAAATCATGTGCTTGATCTTCTGAGTCAATTGCTTTTTACTTTGCAGCATCTAACTAAGCCTATTTGAGTAGGCACATTGTGATAAAACAGAGTGCTTATGCATAGAACGCAATGCCCGGTGACAGCCAAACTCAGCCACCGATAACCCATATTTCTACTCCCTTAAAAGAGAAAGATCGTGCAAACTAAAGCCCAAACTCCAGCACGCATGGACATCTCGAGAGAGATATAGAAAAGCAGAAATTGTACGCTAGCTCAATCCGAAGAAGCAGTAAGCAATCATCCCCAAAAACCGGAAAATTCACCATACAAATCATACAACCCAATGAAACAACTCCAAAATCAACAAAGGAACAGCTTAATAGCAACCCCTGCACACGCTCACGCAAAGACCCACGTCCGCTCAGATCATCTCGTGCGCACCTGACGGAGTTGCGACGGCCACGGAGTTCGGGAGGAAGCTTGCGGTCATTGACGGCGTCGATCACGGCCGATAGACGGTCCGTAATCTTCTTCTGGGGCTTCGAGGCCGCTCCATCCGGCGACGGAGGTGAAGACGAAGACGATGACGACGACGGCGGCGACGACGAAGCAGCCCGCCTGGGCCCACACGGATCGCGACCCGACCAAGCGAAGATCGGGCATCTATAGACGAGGAAGGAGGGTTCCGGCGAGGACGAGAGCCTCCTCGCGAGTCGACCCGCCATATCCGAGCGGGACCACGAGCTCCGCCGACGTCGGAGCCTATAGAAATTGGAACACCGTCAAATCTTACAGTAGTTTACGTGGGTGGAGATGAGCGACGCCACGTCACCATGGGCGACGTGTTTGTGTTGTTTTTCAATCTTTTCTCTAGACTAATTTAGTTCTTACGCATTTCGATTCTTTTTAAAATTTAAAGCATTTAAGATTTTCATGACATGTAAATATTAACACATAAATCATATATATATATATATATATATATATATATATATATCTCTTCATAATTTTTTTAATTTATTTTGGCAAAACCAGTAGAAAGTAATTTTTAATTTTGTCGAATTTTGAAACGAACTGATCATAAACAATGCTCTGTATAAAAAACTATTATGTGAATATATATATATATATATATACACAAATTTAGATCATCGAAAATAATGAGAATTCAGGTTTGTAATTTCTGAGACGAATTTACACGTTTTAATTCGAATGTGTGATAAACCCAAAGTAACACTAATTGATAAGCATTGAATATACGAATATCTTATAAAATAAAAAACGAAAATATAGAATTTTCTAATAACACGAATTGATGCGATTTCCAAATGTAATTATGACACGTAAATAAATAATGCAATCGAATATATTATTGCAAATTCAATTTTATATACGTATTAGATTCGTGCAATACTTGCTCAAATATTTCCACTTGTCATCGTAGTTAATGTGCAAATGAGGACAACATTCTTAAGAAGAAAAGAGAAAATTATAGCAAAACATTTGACAATATAATCAAATTCTAAAAATTTTAAAAGATGCAATCAAAATGTAAACATTTTAAAATATGAACAATCAGGTCTTAAGTTTGTAGGATATAACGTTGTAAATTCAATTTTATGTATGGATTAAATTCGTGCAATACTTTGCTCACATATTTCCGTGTCATCTTTTATTTATCACGTTTATCGTACCCACTTGTCATTGTAGTTAGTGTGCAAACAATGACTGACATTCTTAAGAAGAAAAGGGCAAATTAGAGAAACCATTTGACTGTATGAACAAATTCTAAAAATTTTATAAGATGCAATCAGATTGTAGACATTTTAAAATATGAACAATCAAGTCTTAAGTGTGTAGGTGGTGTCACCTGATCATCGGAATTACACCCTCATATAAAATTAAGGAGAAATCGAGTTTCAAGTCAAACATTAAATCTCACAGTCAAATTGTGAATTAAATCATCTTAAATCAATCAAATGACAATTAAGCAATTAAAGCTGCTTGCAATTATGCACGTGTCATTGTTCAACGTTTGATTTAGTTTTTCAATCATTTTTTTTTTGTGATTAATGAGAATTGGAATTTAGAATCTGTAGGGTTTCAACAACGAGAAATTAGTATTTCAAATTTGTTGATTGTTGTGATTATCTTGTAGAAATTAAACTCATGGTTTTTATTGCTCAAACGAATTGCGGTGTATGCGAAAAAGCTTTGATTGATTTTCTTTTTTTGGTTCAAATTGAGATTGGAAATCAAAATTTAGGTTTTTTTTATTTATATTGGATTTTTACTCGACTTTGCATAAAAATTGAGTTTTAGTTTCAATTAGTAGTCAGAAATTCAAATGGTCCGAAAGTCATATCACCTGATATCCTTGCCGCTAGCGACGAACCCTTGCACAAATTCCAAATTATTTAGAACTTGATTGCGTTTCGTGCAAAGACATTTAAGAATTTATGTGTACTTTTATAAGGAAAAAAAGGATTTCAGAGATAATTATTTTGTCAAATAACAATGAGTGTTATTTTGTCAAATGACATAATTTTTTTGAAGGTTATATGCCTCCGCAAATGTGTCAACTCCAAGATATGACCATACTGGATCTCTCGAATAATTATTTTTTTGGAGAAATTTCATCTTATTTGGAAGAGCTTGACATTCGGAAGTTATGAGATGCTTAGAAACACATTTGATATTGCATTTTTGAGATAGAAGAAGATTGGTTGCCATGCTTGCATAGGAGCAAATTCATTCACTTGAATATGGTGATGGTTTTCGAGTTGCTTGGACGGATGAACTTGAAGAAGTGAAGTTCATCTCACATATGGATTGGTACTTGGATAAGAGATTGTTGAGCAATATGCGGAAATTATTTTCGTCGTCTATGAAAATGTTTAGACATGAATTGCTATCGATAACGAAAACATTTTTCACTGGCAAATTTTTTCAAGCGATATAATTATATCTTAGGAAAATATTTTTCAAATAATTTATTTTTCTCGAAACAAACGGAGCCTTCAAGAAATGAGTTTATGGCTCAAATTATTTTGCAGACAAACACTCGTGAGGGATCTAATTGAAATATTGATAAGCAAAGGTCAAGATAGGAAGTGACGTAATTAATTGCTCGATTAGTCTGGAGGGAAATGCTGATGAGGAATCGAACGGAACCATCGGTACGAGATTCGTCGCGAACGCTTCGATTTTTATGCGTAGCGATTGGTCCAGAATTGTATCGGATGCTTGGTTGGTGGGCATTCGGAGGGAACGGAAGAATGATAACAAGGGCGATTCGAATATCGGTCTAGACTTTTCGTACGAACGAGCGGGGTCGGGACCGGACGGGTCGAAAATGGATCAACTCAAATCGACCTATTTAATTCATACTAACCCATTTTTTCTCAAGATTTTGACATGCTTTTCTTTTTCTCTTTCATGCTAGTAGCCAATTTGGGGGTACTTGGGGTGCTTGAGGTGCCCCACTCTAGGCCACTAGAACTTTCTTTTCCAAAAGAAGGTAAAAGTGACGTCCGATGAAAGAACCAGGTACCATTTGGCCCACTTTCCCCACCATCCCAAACCTTTGATTCAAATGCTTTAAAGGATGGATCTGAGTCAAGTCCCATTTAGATCCATTTTTAGTTGGTACACGCTCTTTGCGACCCGATATAGCCCCCATCATCTGATAAAGCTTCCCCAACTTCTTTTGGTTCTATTTTTTATATCAACGCCAAGTTGCTGATATTCTCCTTGTGTTTAGATCTAGTCTTGATACCATCTTCTATTTCTCCAAGGATGAGGTTTCTCGGATGACTGGATTTATGTTTCCAGTTTTTGTCAAATCTTTCCTTCTCAATATCTGCAGACTCTGGAGGTTCTAGTTGAGTCTGCATTGTATCTTGTTTTTCTTCTTCTACAGATTCTACGATCTTTGGAGATTCTTGATGAGCTTCTGATAACTCTTGATGTTGGAAGATGATTCAGATTCATCTTTGTAAATCTGAATATTTTCTTCAAACCTCACATTCATTGTTTCTTCCACAATCTAAGAGTTCTTGTTGAAGACTCTGTATGTTTTACTTGTAGTAGAATATCCAAGGAAAAATCCTTCATCTGCTTTCTTATCAAACTTACCAAGACGATCATTTGGATTTTTTAGAATAAAGCATTTACAACCAAACATACGAAAATATGAGATACTAGGCTTCCTACCTTTGTAAAGCTCATAGGGGGTTTTCTCAAGAATGGGTCTGAGAAAAACTCTGTTAATGATATAACATGCTGTAAAAACTGCATCTGCCCAGAAATGAAAAGGAATCATGCTTTCAATCAACAAAGTTCTTGCCATTTCTTGCAAAGAACGATTTTTCCTCTCCACACACCATTTTGTTCTGGTATATAATGAGTAGAAAAATTGTATTGAAAGCCATTTTCCTCACGGAGATCGAAAAACTTTGATTTTCAAACTCTCCCCCATGATCGTTTAATGCGGAAATGGTATAGCCATTTTCATTCGAACTCTTTTTGCAAATTTTGAAAAATATGAAAATGCTTCATTTTTATGAGCAAGAAAGAACACCCAAGTAAATCTTGTGAAGTCATCAACAATAACTAAACAATACTTCTTACCACCAATACTTTGTGTTCTGGTTGGTCCAAACAGATCCATATGAAGAAGCTGCAAAGCACGATTAGTGGAGACATAATTTATAGACTTAAAAGAGCTTCTTACTTGTTTTCCTAGAGTGCAGGCATTGCATAATTCTGTTTTCTTGTATTTCAAATCTGGCAGACCTCGAACCAATTTCTTGTTTGAGATCTTTGAGATTTGTTTCATACTAGTATGCCCCAATCTTCTATGCCACAGATCTTCATCTTCTTTGATTGAGATCAAGCAATGAGTGGAGTTTGGATTTACATCTAGAAGATAAATATTACCATGTCTTCTTCCTGTGAAAGTTTGAGAAGAATCTTTACTTGTTCCTGAGCATGTATCTTCTTGAAAGTTGATTCTGAAACCTGTATCACATAGCTGGTTTATGCTTATCAAGTTGTAGTTGAGTCCTTTTACTAATGAAACATCATTGATTATAAGTCCTCCAATTTCAACCGTTCATTTGCCAACGATTTTTCCTTTGGTATTTCCTCCAAAGGAAACTTTTCCACCATTCAGACTGTGTAGATCAACGAATATGCTTGGATCTCCTGTCATATGTCTAGAGCATCCACTGTCTAGGTACCACTTTCTTTTTCTCTTTGTGGTAACCTGCAAAAATCACAACATCTCAAGTTTTCTTTGGTACCCAAATTTGTTTGAATCCTTGAGCATTAGTATAGGCTGTCTTAACAAAATCTCTTCGAATAGGTCTCCAGACTTTAGGACATTCATTCTCAAAATGCTGTAGATCTCCACATTTTGAGCACCTGAGGGCACTTCGGCCAACGGGTTTGACAAAATTCCTTTTGAAATGGTTTTTATAAGCTTGTCGAGGAGCTCTTTGTCTGAATCTCTCCTTGACTTTTGGAAAATCAATCAAGCTATCACTTTCCTTCACAAATCCGAGACCAGATTTGTTATAGTAAGGAATTTGGATAGAAAGAATATGCTTCAAGGTTTCTGAACCTTTTGAAAACTTGGAAGTAATTTCTGAAACTTCCTTTTTCAAAACAGCATTTTCTTTGGAAAGAAAATCTCGACTTTCCTTGATTTGATGAAATTCTTTTTGAAGAAAATCGATTTTTTCTTTTTGAGAAATATCCTGTTGCCTCAGTGATGAATTTTCCTTTTTCAAAGAAGAGATTCTTTTAAGAGCAGTCTTA